GGTGGCTTCTGCTCCTGCACCGGCCACGGCCACGGCCCCGGCTCAAACTTTGACTCCGGTGATGCGTGGCCATTGTGCGCATTTGACGTTTGGTTTATTAATCAGTTTGGCCTGCGGCCATGGACCGACCAACGTCACAATTTTCCACAAATGAATAATTTTTGTACCACAAAAATATGAAGCAGAAGCCAAAAAGGCAAAGAGCCCAGGACCCACAACAAATGTGTCACAAGGGGGCTCTTTGCATATAAAAATACCCTGTCTTTGGGGGGTATTATTATTTAAGGAAGGCTTGCAACAAAAAGTGATCTCTATATTTTAATAAAAATATATACATTTTACTTCTTTAAGCAGTAAACAAATTAAATTCCCTAAAATTAACTTACTTTAAGGTTTACATTCAATAACTTTTACATGATTAAGCGGCTATCTATCATTATATTAGCAAATGCGTTTTGTTTAATATTTTTTTAACAACTTTTTTCGCTATCCAGGAACAAAAGAGTAACCAAAAGTTTTTTAAATCCCTTATTTGCTTGCGTTTTTTTGTGTGAAGCGAGTTTCGCATTTTAATTTCAGCGCACAGAGGAAAAAGTCAAACAAATGTCAGCCGCGTGTTAATCAAGTGTAAATAAATGGCGCAAAGATTAGAGAGCACCGCCAAGGCAGCCACAACTGGAACCACAACAACAATGAAACACTGTGAAAAGCCCTGCAAAGCAAATAAAAAGGAGGAATGCCCAAAAATTGAGGGGTGTGATGCAGACTGCGAAGAAAAAAAGTTGAAAAAAAAAAACACATTAATGGTTTTTTAAATGTTTTTTAAATGTGCGTGAAAAATCTGTCACTGAATGCGAAATCAACTTGAAAACGCTTTAAGTTTTCTTGTCCTTTCCTCGTCCCTCCTCAGTCCCCCTCTGCCGGGGTCCATGCAAATTAGCCTTCAAAGTTGTTATCATCGAAGCCCGAAACCAAATCCCGAAGCCATTGGGCAGGACCCCAAGCAACGCCTACGCCACAGCAAATCCTTAGACCCCGGACCCAGACAAGGCCCGTCCTGCGGTTGGGGGGGTGTCCTGAAGTGGTGTTGATGATACTATTATCTTAAATCGCGTCGCGGGAGGGGGCTGAGACCCATGCGAAGCTGTCAGCGGACGCGGCCACTTCAATTGTCCTTTTTCGGCAAGGCATTTACAATTCATAGATAGAGACGAAAAAATCGTTTTATTGGCTTTAAGGTCCTTTTTGTCGCCTCAGCGACATGAATAAAGGAGCAGCAACAAGGACATAAACCGCAAATAACTTGAACACTCGGCGGCCAGAGGGTTCCCTTTGTTATTGCATTTCCCCGTGATTTGTGTTTTCTCGGCCCGGCGGAGGAGTTTGAATTTTACAATTTTTTTCGCCATCTCTGCCGCACAGTGGAGCAAAACACTATGGGAATTTAAGTTTTTACAATAAGAAATTCTTTAACAGAATTTGTAAAATATTTCTATTATTATGTGAATAACTTTATTAGCATCTATGTATTTATTTGTACAAGGTCTGCCTAATTAAAATAGGCTCCAGTATAAGGATTAGCCATAGCTACCATAGATTACTATTTTTAAAAGGCATCTTTTATTTATAAAATTTTAAATGCTAAAGAAATAAACAACTTTTGAAGTTTTCAATATATAAATAGCACTGCTACCACGGTTTTTGTAAGCTTCACTCGCTGTAAAGGGGTGCAAATGCTGCAATTTGTAACATTATTTGTTTTTCTTTTCGGGCCTCCCCCACCAGAATCCCACCCGCCGAAAGGACATTGCTCGAAGACACAATGCTATCTAATCTTATTTGGTATTATTTCTGCGTTAAACCTGCACTTCAGCACTTTCCCCCTTTCATACAATGGCCAGACAATTGTGGTCTTTAAGGAGAAGAAGGAACTTTAAACTTCCGCCGAGTAAACTTCGCCTTGAAGGGCTCTTTTAATGATATTTACAGGAAGTGGCAGGCAGAATCGCATCAATCATTTGTCAGCCATAAAAATTCGTCACACACGAGTATTAAAATATACAACGAAAAAGCCGGAATATCTCTGCTGGAAAAAAAGGAAAAATTCTTAATGGCTGCGTGCAGTGAAATGACCTTGTAAGTTATGAGACCTATGGGGTTCCCGGACCCAACAGTTGGGTGCCCTTTAGCCGCTGGAAAAAGTCCTGGGAGAGAAGTCAGGCCGCCAGGCAAGGTTCAACGACAAGCGGTCATTTCGGCAAGCCATCGAATGGGATTGCTACGTAGCGCGGTCCTGGCATGCGTGGCCTCGTCCTGAATCCTTCTGCCCTCCCACAGACCACTCACTTCCCCGGTGTGCCCACTCACATGTGAACATTTATTGGAAAACATTATTATTTATGACTTTTTGAATGACATCGCTTGAACTTTTCAAGCAATAAAGTAGCGCACAATAATATTTCCTCCTACAGGAAATTGCAAGCGCACAATTTTTCTCTAAAAAATCACAAAAAAAAATAACATTTTGAGTTTTGATTTATGAAGATATTCATTAGTTCGCTTGATCGAAGTTGAGTAAAATATTAAACTTGATTTATAACTAGGGAAATTATATTGCAGCGGGTGAGAAAATATTCCTAGGGGACGAAGGCTCAATTTAACAAAAAAATAAGCTTTTATCATTAACAAGCAAAAATTAAAGAATTTATTTGGGACTTAGAGGAATTGTGATTCGAACTTTAATAGTTTAAAATATATTTTGTAAAAAAGTAGTTAGAGAACTTCAATCTAAACTCTTGGTGGCCTTTTTGAGATTTTAATACAAACTGCTACCATAAAGTTTCAAAAAGTATCATATATCTAGGTCTTAAAACCAAACGAAAATAAATTTCTATGCAATCTAAAATGAAAATCTTAAGCAACATTATCCCAAGCAATCAATGGCTCAAACGCAAGAAACCCAAAGGAAGAGTTAAAGGGTTCAGGATTAAGGAGTGCAGGTCTTTGGCGCCCATCGACTGTCGTGTGTGAGGGATGCGTTGCGTTTAAGATTTGATCAAATAACCACAAGAAAAGGATTATTTTAAGTAATTGCTAGACATTGTTTAGTGGGATGTTAAGGACACGAGGGCCCATTGTGGCGTGGCATGGGACTGTGTAAATTGGGTTCGACTTTAAAGCCGTCGCATTTGTTTTTATTTACTTAACCGAGGCGATTACATAGGCATCTTCGGCTTATTTACTGCCCTAGCTCCCAGTATGTATTATCTGCGTGTACATATCCCAGATATATATATTAGATGCGGGCTCCAGGCGCATGACCCATTCCTGAACTCGTGCAAAGCTTTTTGCTGGCAACGACGACACGAGCTCCAGCCTTCTCGCTCTGAGCCACGATGATGCCGTCCTTGTCGGCGGTGTGTGTGCGACTGTGGCTGTGTGTAGGGTGCAGTGGAGTCAAAGTGTAGATAGCAAGCTGCCATAGGACGACGCCGACAACGACGTTGAATACATATAAAAATGTCTAAGGTGGAGCAGAAGCCATGACTGCGGCCATGACAGCGATAATGTATACGTGGGCGTGGGGAGGGACTCTGATCCAGATTCGGAGTGGAGTGGGGTTTGGCGGGTCCTGGGGAAGTTGTAGGGTTGCCAGGACCACTCCCATCCCTCTCACTCTCAACGGTCCTGGGCTTTCTCGCTATTTGAGTTTGGGTCCCCAGCTCACTTTGTGGGTATTAAGTTCCTTTTAAGGCCAAAGACAAACGTCTCCGTCTCTTCCACTTACTTATAGCCAGGTTGCACTTTTTGTGCGCCAACCAAAGGAAATCTGTCCTGGCAAAGGTGAGGGAAAGTCTTTAAAGTTGCACAAAGGGAATTAAGGTTATTCGCACATAATTAATCTGTTGGCAGGGTGCCAATTACTTGATTACCTTTGAAATAACTAAAAAAAAAATTAACAAAAATTGTATTGATAAAAAATATGTATCTGGTTGTGATCTGATATAAATATATCCCCATTTTAGTGATTTGGCATCGGAATAAAACTCTTTATAGAGCCCGAAACCTGTGCCCCCCTCGCCTTTAGATTCAGACAAAAATGTTTATAAGAAATCATTTAAAACAAGAAAGAAATCTAACTTCCGAATATGATATAAAACCTTGAAAAAATTTACAAATTTGTTATTTATATTATTGATAAAGAATAGGATTGCCGGAAATGATTCCTTTATTGCAATGCAATCTTCTGACTAAAATTAAAATACCTTGGCAAGGTTAAATATGTGATATAGAAGCTATACTTTTTCCTTACTGTTACTGTCTTTTTATGTCTTTCAGATGAGAAAGGTATCTCTATGTATTTCCTATATAATATAACTTTAAATATAATTTTCATTACATTACTTAACAACATGTTAATTTCGTTAAGTAACCAAACAATTCCTGTTTCAAATGAATTTCTTTAGAGTTTAGAAGTTTCATAAAAGATCTCTGAAAGATTTTGTTAAAAAACAATTCAGAGTCCCACACTACACCAATTTTCTCTTGCATTTCACACGGTTTTCCCATCTTAAAGCTGCCAAAAGAAGGCGTCATATTTTTTTATGACACATTTAGTTAAACGATATGGACCAGAGCCCAGTGACAGACAGGGGTCACTTGGTCAACCCCAAAGAATTTGATGCAGCTGCCAAGTTGACAGCCCTTCCTTATCCGCCCGCCGTTGGGGGAATTTGTTTTGGTCTTAGTTGTGGTTTCTTTTTTTTTTTAGCGCGCTGATGGGCCATGTGGGAGACTTTTGTTTTATCGAGGGCAATACATCAGCCATCAATATGATTAACTCTCGGGGAATGTGCCAAAGTGCCGAAAATCAAATTAAATTGCCCTGATGTAAGTGTTTGTGACACATCCGGACAGTGTCCAGTCGCTTGATTTATGCATTGCAAATCGATAGTTTGCGTTTGCCCCTAGGGAAAAGGGATCAGTGTCAGATGTGCGCAGGCGGTAAAAACGTAATTTATATTCACATCTCCAAGATATATACACATATATATGGAAAGTACACAAATTCTTAAGCCACTTGACAAGTTGTCACTTCTTGTTCATCCTCAGCTCATACTTTTCCTCCATGAACTTGAATATGGAATCGATGGCCGAGTACGAGGTCCACTCGTGCTTGGTGTGTCCAGCGGAAACCTTCCGGATGTCGTCTTTGGACGCTGAAACCAGTGTGTCCAAAGGTGCCTTGCTGGTGACCCAATCACAGGCCACGGATTGCAAGTAATCCTTGTTGCTGGCCTGTGGACTTGCGGTAACCGCATCGGTAAAGGCAATAGCAAATACCTTTTCCTTGAAGAATTCAAAAAATTCATCAACCTAATGGAGGGAAAGAACTTTAAATTATTCGAAATCTTATTTGAAATACAAACACTTACCAGATCATAAGTGAGAAAGCCTCCATAGCTGTGAGCCACAATGGCCACACTCTCCGGCTTGGAAGGCAAAACTATGTTCTTCCACACATACTTGGTGTGTTTCTGGGGCTTTTCTACGCCTTTGATAAGTATATCCTTGCCATTAAGGAATCGCGTGGTATCGTTGGCATTGGTGATGAGCAGATCGTAGCCAAGCTTCTGGGCCTGTCGCACGTAAGGCAGCTGGGAGCCATGGTCCAACGAGTTGTTGATGATTAAGCTGTGCAAATTTTATATTTATTTACTCTTAATGCTTGGAAAGTTATTGCTGTCAGATTTTAATGTGAAATATATATACAAAACATATATAAATCGTAATCATAATTTGCATTTCCCAGAGGTAAAGTTATATTTTTTCCTAGTCCACAAGGGACAAACTGTGTTTTGGTGCCTTTTCCCAACATTTTATCAGCTCCCAAGTAATCTCATTTTATGATTTGAGAGCAAATTAAGTAATTATACATTTTCTATATCTCAGAGTTCTTAAAAGCTACAGCTAAGTACTTACCTTCTAGCCCACTGACCAGCCTTTACTTGCCCACTGCCATGGATCAGGATTAACAGCTTCTTGGACTGCGACAGTTTTGCTGGCTGGGAGTAGACGAAGGACGACTGCTCTGGCGGCTTACCAAAAGGAATGTAGGTGCGACTGAGGCCGTTCTTCTCCAGCAAAGCATAGACGATTTCAGGGATTTGCTAAGGATATAATTTTTTATGAATTTAAAATGTTGATTAATAGGAAATCCCGAAATTCCAGTGGTGGTGCCCAAAGGGACATAACACCTTCTGGTATGGTAGTCATTGTACATACATCAGCCAGCTTCTGGTAGTGCTTCTCGTTTTCATTGGCATCGCTGCTGATGTTGTAGGAGAAGAGTTCCTCTCCGGGTTCACCCGTTGCAGGATCGATTTTGCGCAGGACTCCGGCTGCAGGAGAAGATCGGTATAACAGGAATCAAGAGCATGACCGTCTCTTGGAACATACTCACCTTTGTCGAAGGCGTAGCCAAAGTTCTTTAGCCGGGCCAGAGCCGGCTCACAATTGGTGGTCTGGAGCGGTGCCTCTGCCATGTCGCAGTACCTGTGATAGCGAATCAGTCTGAATATCTTTGACCACATTTCGATCGGGTTCGTTCCACGAGAACGGTCACTTACGGACTAGCAATTGGTGATTTTCAGGGGTTAATTTATAAGCAATTGTTGCTCGGATTTTGTTTATTTTGATTTTCTTGATAAAAGCGGTCAGTGGTGGGACGATGTGCTTTCGATAGGCCAAAAGCTCGTATCGATTAAATTATCGGCGTCGCGACGAAATGGCCGGTTCACACTGCGCAGCTTGTCTAAAAGAAATGCAACTTAACGAAATTGAAATAATGTTAAATTGTATTTTCAGTTATTTGAAAATAAAAATTGAAAATATGCATGTTTTTAGCAGCTTAACATTTATTTCATTTTAACTCAGTGTACAGTTAGCATCAAAGTTTAAGGTAAAACCTTTTGCTTCCCAAGAAATACGCTTTCACATACTGAGCATATTTTCCTTAATCCAATCCGAAAACATACCGACCCGGGTAAATGCATAGGGCATAAGTGGCTGACATGCCTTTCTCCCGTAGGACATTAAGCCGTAGAGCCGTTCGTTTTCCACGTCCATTAAAGGGGCTCCAGAGTCGCCCTAAAAAAAATGTATGTATATTTTTAAAATTTGAAAGAGCTACGAGGACGTATTAAATTTTTTTTTTTTTTTTTTTTGAGGGCATTATATGCTCCAGAAACCAAAATTCATATATTTCGATAAATATTCAAAAATAACAAGAAAGGAAACTAAATTCTGGAAGCCGAAATTTGTATACCCTTGCAGTTGCCAAAGGACCTTGGCTTTGAATAAAAAAACGATCAAATCTCAGCCAAAAATGCATTAAATTCAGTTTGAAAATCTTTTCTATCCTAGTTTTTTCTGGCTTAACAAATCTGCATACTGTATTTAACATTTTAAGAAATTAAAATTTTTGGTCATTTTTGAGAATTTTAATGATGTAACCCCTTATCAAATTTTGAAAAATGTTGAACAAATTTTATTTTCTTTGATTGATGGTTAGAAAGAAGCGCCTGTTAATGCTGATCAAGAATATATATGATTTATAGGGTCGGAAATGACTCCTTCACTCCTGTGCTAGCTTTTGACTGAAATTATAAAACCCTGCAAGGGTATAAAAATAAAAATTACAAGAAAGGAAGATGACTTCGGCACGCCGAAATCTGTATACCCTTGCAATTTGTAACGGACAGAAGGACATGGCTGGATTGACTCGGCTGTTGATGCTGATAAAGAAACGACTCTTTCACTGCGTTGCAAACTTCTGACTAAAACTATAATACTGTGCAAGGGTATAACAATGTTTTCGAAATTTTTCAAAAGCTCCTTTGAGCTTACTTCCTCTTCTTGTTCTTATTCCTTTTACTCACATCACAGGCTCCTTGAGATCCTTTCAAGTGCACGGCACAGAAATCCGTATTACGAAGAAAAACGAATCGATGACTCTGTATGCATTTCGCGTTCCCGATTGTCCGAAAAGGTAGCGGCTTCAACATCTTCACCTCTCCGACCTTGACACGGCCCCATCCAATCATCGAGCCCTCAAAGCCGTCAGGAGGTGACTTAAGATTAAAGCTTAAGCTCTTAAATCGACCATCATTTAGCGGGAACTTTGGGGAAACCTTCACTACCGCAATATCGTATCCCTCGAGCACCTTAAACTTGGGATGAACTTTTACTTTGACGACAGTAAACCTGGTTCCCACCTTGCCATCGAGCCTTTCGGAGCCACCAATTACATACAGTCCCCCTGGGTGAACTGGCTTGGGGGGCTTGACGCAGTGCGCCGCGCTGAGCAGGTGCTCATTCGAAATGATCACACCCACGCAGAGGTGCTTGTAGTAACCAGTGACCATTGTGCCGATGGAGACGATGTAGGGAAATGAGTTGGGGCGACTGGACTCGGTTGAGTTCCCCATGGTGGAAGGACCAGAATCCGTGGAATTGGCCTTTGCCACCACACACAGTGTCGTTAGCCACAGCAAAAAGAACCACATGCTTGCAGCAGAGCTGGTGCTGATCGAGCTCCATAGCTCGGTGTGGGATTCCTGTTTCTCAAGCTCAAGTTATAAGCCATGAAATTACAATTTTCGGCGCGTATTAATATTAAATATCCGCTTTATTGGTAACAGTATTTTACGAGCTAATAGAATTTTAAAGAACTTAGTACATAACTGTTAAATTTCTCCTTTTATTAAATGTGTTTTTGAAAGCCTGAATAATGGATCCTCCTTTGTCTTCCATTCATTTTTAAACGGAGTTGGAAAAGCTTTTTTCTCTCTTAAAGTTGATATTTTGTAACAAATGGAGATGGTATTAGAAACAAGAAGCTACTTCTCTACTTTAAATTAACCCATGAAGCTCTACGATTAATCCAAATTAATATACCAAATATATTACTTTAAGATTTGTTCTTCTCCTTTGGGCACTAAGGACCTACTGATTTGGGGTATCCTTTAAGCTCTGCTTAATATTAGCCACCTGATTGAGCCGGGCAAGGCGCTTCATAGTCTCCAGCTCCTTGATGAATGTGGCCATGGCCTCTTTGGTGGTGGAGATATCGCTGTCTTTCAAGTCTTCCAGGCTGTCTTCCTTTTCAAGCTCTAAAAAACAAAATAATATTAATTTAACAACTAACTCAATAGTAATAGAAAGTTTAGAGTACTCACCGTCCATCTCGGCCTCAATGTCGTTCAGCCGATTCATGACCAGGGACTGCTGCACCTTAACGTGCTCGATCAGGCGGTACTGGCACTCCTCCGGATCGATGGCCGCCTCCGGCTGCGGAACGTGCGGTAGGTCGGGAATTTCTGTCTTCGGTCGCTTCACCGGCGTCAAGGTAGCGGCGTCCACCTGGTCCTCATCCCACTTCTTTGCCCACAGATACAGCTTTGGGTGGGAACGGTTTTTAGCGATGTTGATCTTCACCAGCAGCGAGTGCATCGAGCGTCTGGCGTCCAGCAGGTTGCCGGTAAGCGTGTGCGAGCGCTTCAATAGCTCCGATTGTTTGATAGCCTGGGGATTCGATGTGTGGTACCCGGCCACCGGCAACTTACCCTCGAACAGCCAGTCCTGGTCGTGCTTAAACCTCATTGAGTCCCGTCCCCTCTGTGGATTGCGGCAGATGTAGCAGACGTACTTTTCCGGCACGTCCGACTCCTTCACAATGCCATTGCATGCGCCATGCTGCCAGCACAGACACAGCTCGCACTGTATCATCAGGCCGTCCTCCTCGCCATACTCGCAGAGGCAGTTGATAATCTCCTCTTGACGCATTCGCACGATGCGAATCAGTTCGCCGTTCTCCTTGATGTATTGCGGCGCCTTCCCAATCGTGTCTGCCGGCGGCGGAAGAGCGGCATTTATGTCGGCCTGGTCATTGGACGACGGTGTGGACACCGAATCCACCATAACCGGAGAGTCAATGGAGCTGATGGCTGGAGCAGCGGGAGCAGAGCGGCGTTTCTTCGAATCGATGCGTGCATCCGGCGTGGGAGTGTTGAAGGACTGACGCGTCTCGTCGGCATCGTGTTCACTCAAGTTATGAACGGTCGTAGTGTCGGTCGCATTGCTGCGCCGCTGTGACCGCTGGCGGTTGCTCTTCCTTGAGCCGGATGAACGCTTTGTCGGCGAGAAACGAGCCCTCTTAGCGGAACGATTCAGTCCAGGAGTCACTGAGGCGGTAGCTCCAGCCTCCAACGAAACCTGCTCTTGATTGATGACACCTTCATCGGACGCCATCGTGTCCAGTGGCTCCGTTTTGGGCGATACAATTGTCTTGGTTGGAGAAGCAACTGGCAGAGCACCAGCCGCCTTGGGCGACGTGACCGTTGGGGGAACTGACTGACGCTTAAAAGACCGCGACTGCTGCATATCCTGTTGGTGCAGCTTGGCAAAGAATTGCTGGTTTGGTATTTGGTTCTTGGGAGCTGCATCACCCTGCTCGATGGAAGAGGCGTGTGTGCGCTTCACCGCCAACTCCTGCATCTTCGGGCAGTTGCTCACGTACCTGGGAAAATCAAGTTCATTTCAAGTGTCCATTTCTACGTAATTTAAAGAACTTACTCGGCAAACTCCTTGTGGTAGTGACGTATATGAATAAGCAAGAAGTCCTCCTTGCGATAGGTCTTGCCGCAACCCTCGCGCGGGCATACGTACAGATTCTCCTGGAGCTGGACTTTTAGGCCGCCAATATAAGCTACGTGAGAAGTAGAAAACGATGAGAAAATGTGTCAATTTGATTTTGGTTATGCCTACCAAAGCCATTCTCCGCTGGAGGAGCGCCACCCTCCAGAGGCAGGGCTGCACCACCCTCAATAGCTTCCAGCTGCTCTGGGTTAGTCTTCGGCTTGCCTTCATCAGTTAGCAGGGCCTGCGGCGACATGAGCTCTGCTGGTGGCATCAGAGAAGCCACCGGTGCCTCCATGTACTGGCTCTCCTTGACGGGCATTGGAGTCGATGGCAAAGATGATAAAGTTGTGTTGCTACGCTCCATCGTAGAGTCCAGCGACACATCCATGGGCTTGGGCTTGGGCGGTGGCTGCGGATTATAGTCATGTGTGTAGACATAGGCATTGATGTCCTTGGCCCGACGCCGGTGGATGCTGAAGTCATATACATCCGGATTGTATACCAAGCCTTGCGATTCGAGAAACACCTTCAGGTCGGACTTGGAGCGGAACCGCTTGCCACTGGGCGAGACCAGGATGACGTCCCACTTGCCGAGCACATTGGAGCGCTGGTACATGTGTTTAATCCAGCCGGGTGGAAGTCTCCAGTCCTGCACGATCACTGTGGGCTTCTGGTGCTCGCCCACAATCAGGAAGCCCTCGGCTCCAATTGGCTGGTCATTTACCCAGTGACAGGTCCACTCCCCGTCATGAGGTATCTCCGGCAAGCCCAAAGCAGCTGTTGAGGAACAAACAGTAACTAAATGTTCTGAAATTGCAGACAGGTGAAAATATTACCTATGTCCAAGCTGGCCATGTCTAGAAGCGGCCAATCCCTGCGCTGGGGCGCGCTCTTGCTCTTCTTGCTGCTCGAGGCACCACTGGCACTGCTGCCAGTACTGGCCCTCTTTGGAGCCACAGGTGTGGCGGCGGGCACTGGAGTCGCAGCTGCAGATGGAGTTCCAGGCGGTGCCGGAGCCTTAACTGCTGCGGCATCCACTCCCACGACGGGAAGAAGCTGCTTGGGCAGCTTGTTCATGTGCACGGCACGCACGTTCTTGGTGTAGCCATCGTCGAAGAGCACTTCGTAGGTGTCGTTGCCCAGCAGCCTGCGAACGGTGCCCGGAAACTTGCGCGGCCCCGACCAGCGGGCCATGCACTTCTCCTCCAGCTCAAAGATGGGCAGCACGCGGTTGCTGAGGCGCTGCCTCAGCCGCTCCGACTTGATGGACATCCATTCCTGGAAGCTGCCGCTCGTCGACGGCGACACCTTCAGCTTGTGGTTGCGCTCGAAGCGCACGAGCAGCGTCTGCTCCGTTTCATTCACCTCCACGATGCGGGCGGGCAGCCAGTTGCCCTCCACACTCAAGGCCTCCAAGCGGGCGCCGATAGTCAGATTGGTGGGGTTGCTGTACTTGACCGGCGTGCCAGGCAGCGGCGAGTTCGAGGCGGAAGTCGCCGCTGCAGAGGGGGCAGCTACTTCGCTGGCCGGGACAACAGCGGGAGCGGCTACAGAATCCTGTGCTGGCTTGGGCACCTCCTCCCCAGTCTCCGGGGCAGCACTGGTTTTTGCCGCTTCCTTCTCCTTATCCGCCTTGGACGTCTTTGGCTCCTCGGAAGCCGCCGAGGAGTTGCGCTCGGCAGTCTCTGCCAGAATCTGCGCCACGATATTGTCCACGGTGGCCTTGATCACGTCCTCGTTGGCCGACGAGGGATCCGCTCCGGCGACCGCCGTTCCCTCGACGCTGGCCTGCTGCAGGGCGCGGTGGTCAGCCTCTATCTCGGCGGAGTCCATCTTGCCCCACGGGAAGACGGTGGGGAAGACACGTGGCTTCAGCAGATACTTGCCATTGCGAATCGTGTTGAAATCCAGGCGCCGGAAGTGGCGCGAGCAGACAAGCACGCTCTTGGTGATCTGGCGATCCAGGCTGATGCGCGAGTTCTTTATCCAGATGGCCCGGATGACGGGATCGAGGGGGAAGGAGTGGTAAGTGACGCCGTGGTGCTCCAGCAGGCGGGACGTCGAGGGGCAGTTGGCCACGCAGCATCGGCGGCCCATTTTGGGGTAATTATTGGGCTTATTTCAATGTTTTTCCTGCTAAAAAATTACTTTTGTTAAAAAAGATGCTTAGTTTTAGTTGCAGTGTGGCCAAATAACGAGTTAATTTTAAACCAAAAAAAACACGCGTATATTTCAGCTTCCGCGACTTCTGGGCACACTAAAGCCCTGAAATCACTAATAAACGCGCGGTCTGGCAACTCTATTCGATGTAGAAACGATGTAAAACCGCGTAAAATAAACATAGGTATTTACGTGTGCTTCGCGATTCCGTAGACAGGTGTCGCCACAGTTCAACACTGAAAAAAAAGTTCATATTGACCGTAAAATTTTTTTTTTTAATTTAGAAATAGGTAGTTTTAAATATACTTATTAATTTATTTTTATTTAAAAAAAAGGTGTATTCATTTATACCCATATATTAATCTCTGATCAATTTCTGTTTTTTGTTTGCAGCTAATCTGTGCCTTAATGCATCCGAGCAAAGCGGTCGTGCCATAAATAATTATGTCCAGGTGAGTGAAAAGGTATCACGTGCCCGATGGCCGATTGTCCCCCAAGGCCATCCGATCGGAGACCTATTTGAAATGCCATTAATGTACTCCTATGGGCTGCTTACACGTCTCCACGTCCGCCACAAGACGGACACCTTGCAAAAAGCTGACCAAAAGGGAGATACGAAATTGGCTATGCCAAAATGCTTCTGGAACTAGGCATTACAAAACGTATGTAGTATTTCCAAAGTTTCGGGGAGGAGCAGTTTTGGCGGATTGCCGAAATTTGTGCTTGTGGTTTGCAATTAAACAATATTGTCTCCTGGCCATTAGCATTCAAGAAACAGCAGACAAGTTGAGTGTGTGGCGCCTGCTGCTTTGAGTATTTGCCAAAAGAGTCAATCAACGTCTAGAGCCTTGGCCTTCAAAGTCACGAATGTGAGGGAAATAAACTTACATAATAACAGATTATATCACTGGATCGAAAATAAACTTACTTTATATTTATTTCCCGTGAAAAAGATCTATAATATTAGATATTCCCCACAAAGCTCTCTGGGTCAACATGTTCACCTAGATCTTGAGAGTACTTCCTTTGGTCACAGCAAACACGAAGCCAATTTCAAATAGTGCTGGCTTTGATCGTACGTAATGCAAATATTTAAAAGCAAATCACGGTTAGAGCATAAAGCAAAGTTTAATTATAAATGTTTTTATTGTCATATGCAGCTGACATAAATATTAAATGCCGTGAAAAATTGTTGTTGCCAGGCCGGATAATTTCGATTTGAATTTTGGACAGCCCAAAAGTGACATTGAGAGCGGCCACTTGGGGGGAAATCCAAATGAGTAAACAGGGCTAAAGCTAAATGGCCGTTTGCATAACTGCCGACTAGAGAGCATGCCTACATATTTGCATAAATTATCGACACTTGTGGAAATTGGAACGACTGCACCTGAAACTCACTCTCTTTTTGTGCAAATAATTAAACAATATGTAACTTGTGCAAAAATATTTCCGAAAAGAAAAACGGCGCAGGTACAAAAACTTTTAGCCCAACTGACGGCCGCACTTTCTCCGTTAATATTTACCCAACTCATCGACAAATTGGCCAGGCCCAGTCCCCAGTCCCAGTCCCAGTCTCATCTCGGGCCCAGTACCTGTACCCCCCGATCCCGTCTGGGAACTCATTGCGTAAATATGTGGGTATGCGATGCGGTAATTTTTGAATAGGCCCCGCGACTCTTGATATATTGACAGTTGGGCCCAGTTCCCGGTTCCTTATCACATAAATATTACCCAAAAAAAAAAAAAAAAAAAAATAAGTATCGTTAAATTTTGATGGTTTGCCCACGGGAAATCATGTAACTAAGAGTTCACAGTGATTAAATAAATTATGTTTGCTCAAATAAATACGTGCTTACAATGTCAATGGATTGCCCAATTTCTTTCAACTTTTGCTATTAACAATTGCACGTATAGCAATTTGAATTTAAAATTTAATATGTGGAATATCTCAAGTATGTTACCTCCAGACTGTGTGTAATTGTAGGTGAAGAAATGCAGCTTAAATATGTTTGAAATAAATAAAAATCAAGTACAAATTTGAAATATGTATTTGCTCTCATTGCTGTCACTGGGTTAACATAATTTCAGCCTCCTGGCCGCAGGCAAAATCCATTTCTACGAAGATGTGGCAAAAAATAAACACCACAAATAAAAATAAAAATAAACAAATTGAAATTCCTTAATGGGCGGGACTGGGGCTTAGCTCTTGGCATAATCCACCTCAAGTGTCCCACGAGATACATCTACATCTGTCAGGTAATCAGCGGCACCTGCCGTCGTGTAACTTTTGCCGTTTTACCGATCGCCATAAAGTGCGGTATACCGAGTGTAAAACCTTTATCTTTTCCGCATGATTTCGGTGTAGGGTCGACATGCTCGGCTGCACGTGAGGTGGAGCCCGGAGCTGTGAACGAGGAGACCCCTAATCGAGGCGATCATGTTGAAATGCGTGAATTGGGCCCGGGCATTCGGGTTTACTTCACTTTCAACTGGTGAAATTTTCGTACTCATCGCGCCTGACCTTGATCTGGGTCCGGAGTTGCGGAGAAAATAATTCAGATGGGGGCTCTCTCGCATCATTTCTTATGCTTATGCAATGACAAGTGTGTTTGCATATATCTTCTGGCCGTTTATGTTGCCTTACGTAATGCCTGGAAACCGCAGACAGGGGGAAATCCCCCAAGACCACTAAAAGTATTAACATTTCCATTTTACAGAACTTTTTCCCCTTGTACACCGAATGGGTAAAGTACAGACTAGTCCCTATAATAATCCCTCAAATTCACATTTCAAAATATATGTCACTTGCCGAACTCAATCGAAATGAATTTTGGATTAGATTAGGCAACTAGCGAAACGACAAAAGCACTGGCAAAATACATACATATTTCTGAAACAAAACAAACACAAATACACCAAACAATAGCTGAAAATGCATTTATTTATGCAAAGAGAGACGGCGGACGCCCAACAAAAATGAAATCTCTGTGCCAAAAAAAGATTTGGCTCAACTTGTGGCGTGTTTGTGTAGCTAATTAGATGGGAGTTGGGCCAAGCCATTCGGCGACCATTCAAAGTAAAGTGGTGCAAAATGATGCGCAAGCCCCAAAGACGAGACCACTCCCACCCCCTGACCACCATTGGGCCCCACTTTGGTCCGTTCGGTCACTTAACATTCACGATTGCATGTCAAGCAGGCGCAGGCGCAGCGGCCAACAAATTTTCCACATGCACTGCAAAAATATGCTGGTGAAGTTCTTCAAAGTATTCTTCTATATCTTAAAATAAATAAAGAAGCTAAGAGTATTATTATAATTAATATAAATTATGACTATTTTTGTAATAAACTTATTTTCTATAACTATAAAGTTTCTAATCAAAACTAAAGTAAAAAATCATTCATTTCAAATTGAAATTATTTCTTAAAATGAAATGTACCTCTATTTACTAACAAATATTTTGTAAAATATCCATATTTTTAAAAAAATAATTCATTTTATCATAAACATTCTATATACACTATATATTTTGTTTCAGTGCCGCCCCTTACATTTTAACCAAGAAAAATGCCCACCACTCAGTCTCTCTTTCGGGCTTGTGTCTCTCTCTCTCTCTTTTCGAATCGATTCGAGCTGAGTGGCTTGAGGCCGCTCATATATAAGCCGGGGTTCCCAAATATTTTTGTCATTCCAGTTGATCAGTGCCAGCCGATCGGTCGGTGGAAAGAAACGCGACGCGAGTTTAACAAACGAACCCACAGAAAGTGCAAGTGTGTGTGCATAGACTGCCAACAAAAGAAAAGAGAAAAGAAAAATGAAAGCTTTCATTATCGCCGGTGTGTGCGTCTTGAGCGTGCTGAGTCTGGGAGCGGCTCAGTTCCAGAACGGACGTCTGGAACCCCCAAATCCGCAGCTCTGCGCCCAGCGCATCATCCACGAGAAGACCCCCGACGGCAAGGGGTGAGTGCTCGGGATGTTTTAACCAGATTGGTATCAATAACCCCCATATTTGCTAATCTCTCTCCAGCTACTTCTTCTCGTGGCGCGACCCCCAGCTGAAGGGCGTGGAGGAGGACTGGCTGACGGCCAGGAACTATTGCCGCCGTCGTTGCATGGACTCCGTGTCGCTGGAGACGAGCCTGGAGAATGAATGGATCAAGCAGCGTGTGGTTGGCGAGAATGTAAGTACAAATTTGAATTTTATGATCACATAGAGACTCTAAATTTACAAGAAAAACTATTAAATTAAATTTATAGTCTAATAAAATATAGTTAGAGATCTTAGCTGTAATCAAAAGACTTAAGCAAAAAGTACTTCAGCATCCGGTACCCTCTTTTAAACGTTTTTATAGGCCCTCCATTAAGGCCCTCCTTAGCAATTGACTCTATGTGTAGATTATCAATAAACACAACTTTTAATATCACCTTTTATCTTCCCCCCACTCAATCAAATGAATATTAGCTAATTTATTACGAATAAGAGTCAATAAATCGATTATCCCCACCCTGAAATGGGCCTTATGTAAGCCACACTCAGTTCGGCAAATAAACGCAGACCAAAGGCAATCAATTGGCCTCACCTTTGCTGCAGCACCTGTTTGATCAACTTTTGAGCTGCGATTCGATCAAACAAATGATCGCAATAATGCACAGAAATATGCAACTCATTGGCTATTTATAAATGTTTCCAGCGAAAGGTGGCATAAATGCATAATCAACTACCTTTATTTATGAACACAAATGGACCTCATCGAAGGGGATTTCTTACACCTTCGAGGTGAAATGGCAGACATGCCAATAACTTATGATGTTTGCATTTAACAGTATTTTATCTGTGCCATCTTTTCACCTACTTTGCATGCCATTATGTCACCTTTCGATTTGTTTGACAAGTTAAATAACGCCCGTTTAGCCGCGTGTGAACTGTTTAACGCGATTTACTTAGCGTCCAGCATCTTGAAATTGACCTTAATTTTGAGGATGCAAAGATTCACAAAACTCATTGCGAAATCCGACATTAACGTCGCTCTACAAAGTTCAATGTGAGATTACACATAAAAACTGAGGAAAAAAAACACGACAAAATACGCATCATAAAAATACAAAAACTTTCCCAGTTGTTGCCTCTGCAATTTCGCACACGAATGGAGACTTCAGCTCTTACGCAACCCCTCGAGATGGACAAGTGTCAAGTTTAGAGTTGTGGTCAGGCAGGCCCGTCTCATCTCGGATCTTCCGACTCATTGCTCACCTTACATGAGAAAGCCGCGGTAGCCAAAATTGAAATCGAAAGTTCACGTGTGCGGTGGAAAAGCAGCACCGGAAAAGCTGCTGCGCAAAATTACTTAACAAATTAGCAAATTGTAAGCACGCAAACGGATATACTGCGAGTCGAATTTTCCCATAATCAAACGAGAAACAAAGCGTAAACCCAGGCAAAAAATATACTTGGGAATAAGTTGCATTAATTATTGAATTCATTTCGATTAGAGGTGCTTGGCTAAGACTACTTTCAATTGCTTTTAATATAATAAAAGAAATTTTAGCTGACATACATCTTAAAGATGAATAAACAGGAAAGAGATGGGGCACAAAGAATGACTTTTGAGGTACTACAACATTCTTGAAATCTAAATTCAAACTTAAATATTGAGTCGGTACCTAGCACCACCTCAAGTTTGTAGCTTAAGTCTTTCGTTTATCTACTAGACTTTTATAGATAGCAATATGGCCAAGCATTACTAATAATTTTATTTAAATTCCTCTTACTTTTCACATTTATTTTCCTGTATCTACCATTGGCTGTAGCTTTCTATACCCTTAACCCAATTGATAAGAACTTGTCCAATGACTCCTAACTGGTATCTGCACCCGCATGATACATATTCGGCGCTACCAAATGGAGGCACACAACTTTCCAATGCTGTTTTCCGGCAGAGAAGCCGCTTTCCTAATGAGTTGTGTGTTGCACCTTCCCTCCCCTTGGCTGGGTTCACTTTTACTTGGCCCTGTAACAGACAGGTGCACAAAGCACAATTCATTTTGGCTTCCGCCTGGGCAAATGCATTCATTGTCCAAGCTTTTTTTTATTGTTAACAATTACAATGCACTCTTCCCGCAGCCGACAAAACCGAAATCAATGTCCATAAATTTGTTTCGGCACTGCTCATTGGTGTTTTCCAAAAGGGCAAGCCGTCTGGTTTTTTGTCTGCATACCCCGTTCAGCTTGTTGTGGGGCCCCGTTTTAACAAAACAATTTTTATGGCCCATCGGGTGAAAGTGACTGATGAGCGCTAAGCTGCGGCTGCGCCGCGTCTGCTCACTTGAAATGTTGACAGTATCGGGTGCGCCAGCTCCGAAAGGGCGCGGACTTGGAGCGGGAATGGATCTGGGGGAATGGGTATGGGTTCGCTTTCAGCGACAATAATAGTTGTTTGGGCGTGACAGGCCCAAATCAGTTAGCAGCTGAAATTTCTACCACTATTTCGTGGTCTGGCACGAGGCCAACGCTGAATTTTCTTGCGTAGGAGCGACCAATTTGGATTTGGGCATCTGCAGGGGCCATTGAACCTGAGGGAAACTTGAGAGATTGAACCTCAGAAAAGCTTGAGAGATTTAAGTCTAATTTCGAAAATTTCCCTTCTTTTTTCAGGTGAAATACATCTGGACCAGCGGCCGCTTGTGCGACTTCAAGGGCTGCGACCGCCCCGATCTTCAGCCCACGAACATCAACGGCTGGTTCTGGACCGCCACCCTGCAGAAGCTGGCCCCAACCACGGAGAGGTCTCAGGGTGACTGGTCGCCCACCGGCGGAATCGGTCTGCCCCAGCCGGATAACCGCGAATTCAAGCAGAACGGCGCCCCGGAGAACTGCCTGGCCCTGCTGAATCAGTTCTACAATGACGGCGTCAACTGGCACGATGTGGCCTGCCATCACAAGAAGTCCTTTGTCTGCGAGGAGAACGACGCCCTGCTGAAGTACGTGCGCTACACGAACCCCAATCTGCGCATCTAAGCGGAGGGAGGTCCTCCTCGAGGGCGGGCGGATGGAGCAGCGACTCTCCGAGCAAAACCAAAAATGATATTCTCTAAATCTGCGGCATGGTGCTGCTCCTGATATTTTTCTAGCTACTCTGCGGAGTGTCTGAGTGTCTGTCAAAAGTGTAGAATTTTTTGGATAAATTGCTGCATGTCATAAGATCCTTTTCCTGGTAACAACCCCCTCCCATTCTCTGTGCTCTATTCTGTCTCAACTAGTTTAATTTTTAATTTTGTATTAATTTATGATTTTCTTTAATTATAATAAAAACATTCGAACATTCGACATACAAAAGTATGTATGGTGACTTTAATTGTACTTATTTAGAAAATGCTCTCATGAACCTTTCAGTTGCTGAGGAAAATTATAGATAGTTTCGATGGCAAACTTTCTTCCCCTATACACAGCCAATTAGATTTGGAGAACATCGATGGAATAATGAAATAATATAATAATAATATATTATAGCATATATGCGAACTTGGCTCTCGGTATTTGAGCTGTTTGAAAGTTTTAAATTTTATCAAAGTAGCATGACCTATCATAGAAGAGAACATTTTAGAAGAGCCTAGGAAAGCAGCAAATAGTGTTACGTCTATTTTAAGGTTTTCTATTATTTTACTGAAATATATCGATTTTTAATGATTCAAATATAAATTGTAGAGAATACATACATGGGCGTCCCTAATTTAGCTTTTATTTAATGCTTTAAATTTAAATTTTAATGCAGTATTTTGATAAGATGAACATTTTTCTGATTAATTTTCGCGAAAAGTTAATAATTAATGCTCTGGAGTAAACGTCTGAAACACCAATACATTATGGAATTCCTTGTGGATTCATCGATAAGAGCTATGATGCCTTAAGGAGTCCCTAAGAAATACATTTTAATATTTCATAATGATAAGGAAAGTTGGACAAATATTTGCAAAGAAAAATTTGAGTGAACTTCTCTAGGGACTGTTGATTGAAAACAAATTATATTTTTATTTATATTTTTACGGAATTTGCCTTATATAAACTCCAGCACCCAGCACAACGGGAGTTAGTCGAGAATTATTATTCGGGAATAGTGTTCCTTGGCACGATGCCGCCACAACTTACATTTTTTGGGGCATTTATTGAGATTCTTATTTTGCAAGCAGCAAAAGCGGCTATTTCCGGATGCCACTTCTTTGAAACTGTGAATATATCGTCCAGCCAGCGACTACCCAATGGTTCATACGTATACGAAGGGCTCGAAGTTCCTGTGGCAATGACTGGAGAATATAGTTACACAAGCACGGATCTGGAAAACTATAAAACAGTAAATAACCACTTACGAGGATGTGTCTGCAAGCTAAAGCCGTGTATCTGGATCTGTTGTCGCCATAAGGATATACAACCAAATGGGGAATGCACCGATGGCCTGATGAAGGAACTGAATCAGATACAACCTTTCCTAAATGTAACACTCGGCAACGGATCCGTGGTGAGAAAAAACTTACTAAGCGATTTTATCGTAATGAGAGATCGAATGTGGACGTATGAAAGATGGAAAAATGATAAGTACACACTGTACGAGGTTCGTCCTTTTGTTTCCGTTTCTTCTGTTTAATGTTTCCGAGACTAACGTGATCCCCTTAGAACGGAAGTGTACTGCTCGGGAGTGCAATAAACAACACGATCAAATTAAGGGGATATGACTGCCTTCATCCAAATCAGTTCAGTTCAGCCAACACTGAGTTCTTTGTGGCTGCCTTTCATGGCGATGTTGCTGAATTTAACCTACCAGGAGCCAATCAGAGTAAGAATAGTTTCTATATCGGCAGTTGAGATACTCCTGGCATTTTAATTTTTCTTCAAATTAAAACAGTCCTTTGGCTTTCGGAAGTATTCCTGATTCTCACGATCGCAGTGTATCTCTACGTAAAGAAATTGCAGAATCTGCACGGAAAGTGCCTTATTTGTTATCTGTCCTCTACGTTTATGTTTTTGCTTCATGAATATCTGGTGTACCTTGATATTCCTTTGCAATTATGTGCTGTACACGGTACGTATTTAATATTATTACCAAATTGAGAGGCAATATCAAATATTTCTTATATATTGTGTTTATTTTCTCTTGATTCGAAGCGAAAAACTATATTTGTGATGTCGAACTTTATTTAAATTTCAGCTTACAGTTACAACTTTTTCTGGATGGCCAAGTTCACTTGGCTCTTGTCCATGAGCCATCAGATTTGGGTTGGATTTACATCGGTTAATAGATCAGAATCCCAACACAGTTTCCGCACATACAGTATCTTCTCCTGGGGCCTGTCGGCTATCCTGACGGGAGTCATATTCATGATTGATTATAAGTGGGGTAACGAGCCTAACATGGTGGAATGGATTCCAGGTGTTGGTTGGGACGATTGTGATTTAAAGGGTAAGCTTTCATTTGAGGCATAATTCGGTTCACAAGTGATTTAAGAAAGTATTTTTCTTTGTTCACAGGAGGCTGGAGTTATGATGCGTACGTTTATGGTCCTTATTTTTTATTGGTAGCATTAAATACAAGCCTATTTATATTGACTACCATCTTTATTATAAGGACGAAACTCTCATTAAATAACTTCATCGACTACGATGTAAGGGCAAGGAATTACAGTTCCACAATGATGATGTAAGATATATCTACTAATTTTTGTTTCTTGACCTAATTTTTCATGATCTGATTACAGGTATATGGTATTTTTACGGCTCTCTATTATCATGGACTTACAGTGGAGCATACATATATTTGCTATTATTTTCTCCGGTGATGTTTGGGACTCTCTTTATATAATATGTTTATACAGTGATTATTGCATTGGCGTCATTATTTTTGTGTTGTTTATCCTGAAGCGCAGCACTATTCGGCTTCTGAAAGAAAGGTGAGTGATCCGTGGTTATGTTAGAATTTTATACCGTAGAACACAATACAAGTTCCCCTAATAATATTATAAAATTAAATTAATAATAAATAATATATATTAAATTTATAAAAATTGTACATTTACATTTTACATCTTGCAGGTTTATGCACTAGCTAACCCATTCCACACTTTGTGGACTCTGTTTAAACCTACCGATAGAGGGCGATACTACTAGTAAAACCAGTTGTAGGACTCCGAAAAACCCCCTGCAACTTCACGACAATAATTTAAGTTAACGTTAAATTAAATTAAAATTTATAAAAAAATAAATTAAGGAATCTCCCTTTCATTAAACCCTATTGCTCTGGCTGTAACTAAAATTAAGCAGCAAATAATGTGGATTTTCTATAATCCCAAAGACTTTAATTGGTTTTCTTTTATTATTTTTATTCGTGATGAATCGTGTCGACTGAGAGTCTTACAAAGAAATGAAAGTTCAGTTAAACATTTCCTTACTAATTTTTTACACTTTGAGCCTGAAGTTGTCCATTTCTAAGTTTCCGCGTAGCCATTCTCCCTTGAAAATGGAGTTGGCATCGGAAACATTCGGTTGGGTAGTGCGAACATCTTGAAAACCTGTCAGTCAAATTTGATGAAGGTTTCTACGCACTTTGCCTTTTAAATGTTTTGGTTCTCACTCCGCTGGCCCTTATTCGCTTGGCTGTTACCATTGCTGCCCACGCTGTCCGCTGCTTCGGGCCATCCCCCTGCACTTTACGGACTCAAAAAGAGGAATTTCAAAATTAAATGTAAGTAGAGAAGAAATGGGAATGCCGAGTCGAATCATTTTTCCAGGTTTAAGACGCTGAACTCGACACTTTAAACACGAGGATTCGCCCCCTGAAACAAGGGAAGTAGCTGGATAACCATGCACTCAGAAAATGTAAAAAAAAGTCAGTTTTCGCTAAAACAAAATTCCTTTAAAAAAATGTATAATAATAGAGAAAGTTTTACATAAAAAGATATTTATACTTAACTTTTTGAGTTCTTTTTCTAAATTAAATTAATGCCAACTATTTTTCTTGGTGTAGGCATGGCAGCCCTCTGCAGGATTCCGAGCAATGGCCGCTGACCACAGTCTCTGCTGACGTTTTTGCTTGTGGAATTTCAAACTGATTTACTTGTGTGAGATTCCCCGGCCAGCAAGGACATGTGTCACGTCCGAGAACCCTCCCCAACTGAGTAGCCTCCCCTTCTGCAATCCCCCTTAGAAAGCTCTCAACAGCTGCCTAAGCTGCTAATAACGAATGGACAGTGGCCAGGACTCAAGCGGAGCCAGAAATTAGTCAGAGCGGGAGTCCTTCTGGCCCAAGTCCCTTTTAATTACTCGGAATATCAACACTTTGTCAAAGTGTCTTATTCATTAAGGTGTGTGTGGCTTTTCACACGGGGTGACCATCAGTCCACTCCCTCCCAGAAGACCAATTCCGTCTTCCCCTTTTAATTGTCACTCTCCTGTGCTGCGTGCCAGGAGTCGATGTAGCTGGGGTGGCGTTGGCGGTGGCCCTCTCGTATGAAATGGCCGATGATAATTACTTTCTTTCTGTTGGTTTATTCATGAGCAGCACTCAGCCCGCAAGCATTTGTTTTCGCTTAATGGTTTCCCTTTGAGAAGTCGCAAAGCCAGAACGGGGAGCAGGTTCTGAAATGACACACATTTGCTTTGCTAATGTGAAAGGGAGTCAAGGATTTGTTTTAGGGAAAGTGGTTACTTATAATCAAAAGTTAATATCTCCGACGGTCCCTAGATTATGCTAAGTTTTCACACAGAAATTATAAAAAAGGCTATCTTCAATTAACAATAAAAGTTAGTACATGTTTCATAGCTAAAAATAGTTAATACGTTTTTAAATTATATTTTTTAACTTTTGCTGACACTTTTCTCAGACTTGGTCAGTTCTCGTTTCTGTCCCCTCTCTAAATCGCACATTTAAAACTTGGTGATGCATTGTTTCCTCTTGAAAACTCACTTTACGCAAAATTGGACTAGCAGCCATTTTTCGAACCCCATCCCCCGAAAACTCCTGCTGGCTGCCGCAAAAATAGAATGGAAGCGATGAAGACGAGGCGGATTATGTGCCCAAGTGTAACTAAAGAGAATAAGGGCGAAAATCAACGAATCATTAATCAATCCTTTCATGATGTGACGCGGTGCGTGTCCTTTTATGTGTCAAAAAAAAAGGAAAAAACAACGAGTGAGAGAAAGAAAGAAATTACAAAAAAAAAAGAAGCGGGGGAAAGCAGGCAGAGAAAGCGAAATGAGAGCGAACCAGAAGGAGATGGAAAATAAAAGTATCTTTTTGCTGGAGTTTGAGTGACAGCTACGCAGGCAGCGACGTCCAAGTGGATGAACAGGATATACAGGATCAGGGTTGCGAGCGAGAGAATCCCGAAAAGAAATAAAAGAAAGTGGCAAGAAAATGGCGACACTGTTTGCCCAGGACCGAGCCCTCACCGATGGTTTTGGGCTTATTTACATTTTGAGGTCGCGTTGATTAGCTGAGTGCGGGTGGCAAGGTCCCCACCACCCACTGCGGCTCTCGGGCCCAGACACAACTTGGAGATAAGAAATTAAATTTAAGAAATAAATGGACAATTAACTATATGGATTTCTACGAATTACAGATACTTTCATATATGTAACACAGTTTTTGGCAGAACAACAATGCAGTTACCAAATTAGTGATTCATATAGCAGCTAATAATTTAAGAACCTAATCTCACCTAACATAACCCGAAATAGTAAACAGGAAACTTGAAGAGTACAGAAAGCGAAATGGATACCTTTAAGGCGAGCTTCACCTGTCTGTCAACTTGGCGTCTTACATTTCGGTCGGAGGCCAGGGGTCTTTGGGTTGTGATGGGGCGTATGAGTGATGGTCTGGGGAGCGGACTTCGGCTTCTCCAGTTACGAGACAGATAAGAGATACGCCAGCCGGGCCCGGCATCTGCTTCGGTGCAGTCGACGGCAGATGCATCTGGGAAATGGAAATGGAAGCGAAATCGCAACCTCCATCTGTCGGCTGGGTGCGGGAAAGTCTTTCTCTCACGTGTCTCGACGTACGCACGTCACGTTTGCCGGGAGAGAAAAGATACGGATACAAAAAAGTGACAGTTCGCCAGGACCAAAAACAAAAAAAAAATGAAAGAAGGATGGTGAAATATCAAACAGACGATGGACATGCAGGCGGTCCAAGATTCGGAAGGGAGGGAGGTAGGAACCATCGGAATCAGACCTACACCAATGCGTGAATATGGAGCACATCATTAATTATGCCCCTGGGCCTGTGTTTGCCGCTGAGCCGATTTATCTGACATTTTCGGCATTGAAAAGTTCCTCGTTCTTCCTGTGGATTTCTTCCCAACAAAAATAAAAGAATTTCTCCCGCACGGGTTCCTCCTGCGAGCCAAGATCATTAGTTTCCCGGGCGACACATGCCCGGGCCCTTGGACAAGCACTTACAAAAGTTACTCCTCCTCTGAAAACGGATAAACCTAGAGTGCATTTAGCCGAGGGAGATCAATTGGATTTGCTGTTTTGAGGGACTTTATTAGGGCACAGAAGACACTTTTCCTTAAATTGAGCTGTTCCTAATGGCAGTTCTTCTGGTTTTCTATTAAAAAACAAAAGTCCTTACGAAACGTATGTATTTTAGAGATTTGTAATAAGTCTCGGTAACTTTAGCTCAATAATAAATATAAATACAATAAAAAATTCTCTGTAGAATCCGCCTTGTGAAAGGGAAAAGGGGTATCCAATCGTGGAAAACATTCAAGCTGCGTGACTCGAAAAAAAGCGCCTCGAAAAGTGCAACCTGAGCATCAGACAATTAGGCTTTGTTCATTAATTAAGGCTGCCTTTGCAGCTATTGCAATTGCGATCTAATCTGCACATTACAGACAAGTACTTATCGTTATGACGCGCAAAATGAATTGCTCAATTGCGAGGCGCAACGATAATTACGAGTGTTCGAGCGGAGCCTGAACTTGATCGGATTTTCGGAGAGGAGCCCGAGCTCAGCCGAGTCGTGAACATATGCAGTCAATTAAATAAACATTTATTAACCAAGCCACTGCACAAAAGCTGTTAACAAAGCCATTTGGCCATTTCAGAAAATGAAAACGTTCTCGAAAGGTGTTCATGGGGGCAGCATAGCCCGACGAAGCGAGGGTTTCGCGGGTTTCTCTGGGAGCAGAAAAAGTAAAAAAGCGGTAATTGATGGTCTTGGCCAGGAGTTGTTGTCCAGTTGTTGCTTTCGACCAGCATGGAGCCCACATGCATGTGCAGTCGCAGTCTCTCTCTCTCTGGGCGTATCTCCGTCCCACTCCCGGCTGGATTTCACGCATGGAACTCGGTCGGCATCCCGTCTGCTGTGCTCTGCACTCGGAAAAAAATCTAGTACCTAGGAAAACTAGAGTGAAACTGCATAACTTTCATATTTATTTAGAAGATTTAGAAATTGAAGAACTATCCCAATACACAGCTTACATATAGAGTTCATAAAAAACGCTTTTCAATCAAGCCAGGATAAATATTTCTTCAAGTGTAGCATCGGTTTTTCGGCGAGTCCCAGGTTCCAATCCCTCCCGGGCCATATACATAGTAAATTCGAATTGAATTTTGGCGGCGCGTTCATTAATCATTATTTCAATCATGAAACAAATGTGCTCGCTGGGTGCTGATGCTTGTTGTTGTTCCTGTTGTTTTGCGTCTTGTGAAATTTCGTTGCTGTTCTGCCTGCCCCGCATCACCGAACCCATCCCCATACCCATTCCCAACCGCGTCCCCATACCTCCGTCAGCCATTCCCACATCCCATTCCTGGCCATCTTCGATGCGCTTCAAAGATTGATAATCTCTGGGATATCTTTAAATTTAATTAGTCACATTCATAACAGACCGCCAGCCAGCGAGCCGTACCAAATTACATGTTACAACAAACGGAGCCTCGCTTTTAGCCAT